CAATGGATTCATTCTGCTGGGCTTCCTGGGGTTGTGAACTTCATTGTCTTTTCCTAGGATATTGTCTAAAAGTTTTTTGGAGTGCTGGTTTGGTATTCATGAAGTTCCTCAGGTGCTCTTTGTCACGAAAGTATCTTATTTCTCCATCTATTTTGAAAGATAGTTTTGCAGGGTACATCAATCTGAGTTGAATGTTGTTTGCCTTTAGGCCTTGAAATACATCCCTCCAAGCTTTTCTTGACTTGAAGGTTTGTGTTGAGAAGTGTGCTGTGATTCTGATGGGCTTTCCTTTGTATGTGATTTGTTTCTTTTCTTTAACTGCTTGTAGAACTTTGTTCTTCTGTTGGGTTTCTGGAATCTTAACTATTATATGCCTATGTGTAGATTTTTTTGATCAAGGCAAGTTGGAGTCCTATATGCCTCATTTATCTGTATGGCAAGTTCTTTTGCCCTGCTTGGGAAGTTTTCTGCCATCACTTCTGTGAAGAGTTTTTTATGTCATCTGCACTCCCTCCTATTTCTTCATTGACTCCGATCAGTCTTATGTTATTCTTCTTTGCATCATCTAGCAGTTTTGCTGGATTGATTTTTCATGGTCCCTTCCTATTTTAAAGAAATTTTTCTTTTTCTGTTCACTAATTGCAATCTTATCTTCTGTATCTGAAATTCTGTCCCCACATTGGCTCATTCTGATGTGTAAACATTCAATGGAGTTTTTAATCTCCTGGAAATCTGTTTGTATTTGTTTTATGAGTTCCATTTGTTTCCTATGTTTGGATTCCATCATGTTCCTCAGCTCCTCTATGTTTTTTTTATCTGTGTCCTCTCTAGATTTATTAATCATGTCTTGCACTGTGGGCACAATCTCTGCTGTTATTTGAGAAATTATTTCTGATTTCTTTTTTCCCAGATCCTGTTTTATTGCCAGTTCAGGGAGTCCAGGTGATTGAGTATCACATTGTTCCTTCTCATTTCCCTTTGTGATTGCTTTACGTGATCTGGAAGTCTGGTTTTGAGACTTGTTTACATATCTTCTCATTTCAATGGGGCGGGGGTGGGAGGGTAGTGACGGATGTGTGTTGCTGGTGCTGGAGTGGCTCAACTCCTTGGTGCTGAACGTGGCTCTGCTCCTCTGTACTTGGGGCAGTGGTACACAGCCCAAAAGGGTCACCTCCTCAGTGCTGGGGGCCTCTACTCCTCTGCACTTGGGGTGATGTTATGGCAGCCTGAAAGGCTCAGCTGCTCCAAGCTGGGGCCTCTGCTCCTCTGTACTGTGGGCAATGGTAAGGCAGCCCAAAAGGGTCAGCTGCTCCACGCTGGGGCCCTCTGCTCCTCTGCACTGGGGGCATTGGTACAGAAGCCTGAGAGGCTCAGCTGCTTCTCACTGGGGGCCTCTGCTCCTCTGCGCTGGGGCATTGTTCTAGGGGGTGGGCCTTCACCCATTTGCCCACCCAGGCTAATCTTCTGTGGCCATGCCCTCATAGATAATGCAAAATATGGGCTTTGATGATTCTCCAGACTTTTTCTGCATGCAGGAGGACTGACTACCTTCATGTGCATGTACTGGTTGTGATACTTTCCCAAGAGACATTGCCTCTCCTCTACTATTTGGTTACCGGTGGTCTAGTTCACATGAAAAAGGTAGGAGAAGTGCTTGATTTTTTTTCCTTTTACTCACTATATTTCAGTATAATGATTGATTCCCTATTATGTTCTGAAAGTGCCCAAATCTATTTTTAAATGCTGTTATGAGCTTACACTTACAAATATGTCGATGGGTTTTGGCATAGTACATTTAACAGTATTGAAACTTATACTTTGTCATCTCTGGGCTGCTGCAGAGTCCTTCAAGCTGGCCTCTGAGTCCTTCAGACATGACCCTGGTAATTTTCAAGAGCTTTCATAATGTGGGATTGAATATGTTCCGGCTCATTCTGTGTATTTCCTATTCCAGAGCTAGAGTCACTTCTCCAAGAAGAGCTGAATTTCTGTTTTTCCCAATAATGAATGGTAATTTAAGACTACAATGTAGTTTCTAGACTCATAGGAAATGGATTATTCATTGTCTTTTTGCCTTTGTAGGCAAGCTAAAGAAAAATATGCAGTAAATACATATACATATATATATATATATATATATATATATATATATATATATATATATATATTTCATTAGTGGCTTCAGCGATTTCCAGTTTTAATTTGAGAGTAGACCTTTTACTTAAGCTTGTATCTATTGCATCTGAATTTCCTTTCTTCCATATGGACAATTATGGTTGTGACCTTGAACTAGGAATACCAGTTTGGGTTTGAAAGCAATGAAGAAACCACAAAGTTGAGAATGATTACCTTGAGAGTGGAGACAGTGGTGCATCATAAAGAATGAGGAGGCTGTGATTACGATGGGGCTCCAGGAGGATGTCCAGTGTGGATGGCCAAGTTCTTAACTGGGTGGTGCTTGCTGTATGTTGACATAATTCAGTAAGCTGTATGTTTCACTGAAGTTTTCTATATCTGTTTTTATTTTACAATGCAGTGGTCAAATGGGGTACAAAATTTCAGTTAAACAAGATGAATAAGTTCTGGAGAGCTACTGTAGTTATTTCTGGGAAATTTTTCCCCCTTGAGATTTTCTAGCAGATAATCATTTCATCTAAAAGCAGGAGCAATTTTATTTCTTCTTTTTCAACTGGTATGTGTGTCTTTTATTTCTGAGGCTTGCCTTTTTGCTGTAGTTAGAACTTATAACACTATGTCACTTAAGAGTGGTTAAAAACAGACATTCTTGGTGTGCTCCAGATCTTAGAGAAAAATCCTTCAGCCTTCCACCATTCAGTAGAATGTGGACCGTAAGTTTTATTATAGATGACCTTTCACAAGATGAGAAGTTCCCCACTATTCTACTTTTTGTTCTTGTTTTTGTCTTTTTGGTTTGTTAGGAATGAGTATTGAATTTTGTCAATTACATACCTTTTTAATTTAGCCTGTTTAAGGGTAGATTTCATTGAATAATTTCCTAATATTGAGCCAGCCTTACATACTTATAATAATTTGGGATTTTTTTTCAGTATATGTGTCAGACACTCATGGGCATTTCTGGGTTGCTGGCTTCTCCTGTACCTAATTAAAAAACCTAGGGAACCTGGACCCAAGGCCCCCCCCCAATAACCTGCCTTCTCTTCACTCTCAGGTCCCATTCTTACCCCATGCTTGGTAAGATCTCCTAAACAAAACTCCCAATGGGCTGAGATCTCTCTATAAACATGATAACTAACATAATAATCTATGCAAACTAGACAACCTCACATATTGCCCACCATCATTTTGGTGTGGGGATCTCAAGTGCCCAAAGGAAAAAATAGACTGAATGCTTCAGACCCAAAAGAAAAATAAATCCTTATTTTCCATTTGATGACACATTTTAGTCTTTAAAGATTCATATGACAGCTGAATCTTTTCACACAGATGCCTAATGGTACAACAAGGGCTCAGAACTTGGATTTTTGCTTTCTGATTAATATGGTGGTGTCAGATATTACAGCTGGGTAATTATAAAATTGAAAGAATCCTGTGCCTTCACAGTAGGAAACTGAAACCGAGTCCGCCTATGAATTGGTCTGCGGACTCTCCAAAAAGATAATTACTAACATGAGAATTAGAGGAATAAATGTGTTGTCACTGTTCAATTTTATTTCCTGTGAACTGATTGCTTCCTCCACAGTGGGAAATATGTATGCCCTGATGCATTCTGGGATGCATGCTCCTATGGTATCATGATGAGTAATAAAAACACAGGTTTCTGAGAAAGAGGGCTTTAAAGCACAGGCCAAATGACATTACAGTATGGCCCTGGAATGCAAACACAAACCTGTGACATCTGACTAAGAGCGAGGTGGAACACTGTGAGGATGATTCATGGTGGGTTGTAAAATAGAAAGGCCAGGATGCCCACAGGGCAGAGGACCCAGCAACTCCGGTGGTGTTTGCCTCCTGCTCCTCTAAGTGACAGATCCCAGCCTAAGAGCCTCCTGGAAACGTCCTGTCTATCAGGGCTGCTTAGAAGAGTGCATAAATGATATTTGAAGTGGTCAGGTGACTGCAGCTCACATAAATGGCAGCAGCTGTGACAGAGCTGGGTCACAGCATAGATCACCCAACACATTTCACTTTACTTTAGGGTAATCTTCCAGTATTTATCTATTTTTGCCATAAGACATATCTTTGTAGGTGTTTTTCCAGAGCCATCATAAAAATACATTTTCATGTCCTGAGCATCCCTCAGTTGAGAGCAAAGATGTGAGCCAAGGATCTGCTGGCTGGAAACAGAGGGCAGAGGGATCCCAGAGCAGGTCAAGACTGAGCTGTCCAGTGAGCAAGAGAAATTGCCTGGATCTGCTTGAACTTCAATGATTAATCTGGCATTGTGACCCTGTAGGCAAGGGTTCTAAAATCCAAAATCAGAATATAGCAGAATCCCCTACAGATTCTAAATTTAGACTATGGTGGGATCCCCTACAAAACTACACCCAATAGTACTGATTCAGAAACAAATGGGGACAAGAACCTAAATTTTTCATTCATTGCCCAGGAACTGCAGAAGCAGGTGGTTCACAGAACTAAATGCAAGAAAGCCTGCCCCTGCGGGTGGGCTGTTGTTCTGGTACAAGTTCATGAAAAGAACTGTAGAAGAAACCAAGTCCCAAAAGCTCTGAAATGACAGGCACCCAAAAATGGCTGTGCAGCCTTTGGAGATGAAAACTTGTAGGTTCTTGCTTATCTGCTCTGAGGTGTCTATATCCTCTCCATGGATCCCCAAGGTTCTGTGCTAGAAGCTGATTCCTCAGTGTGGGAGGTGGAGGAACCTTTAGAACGGGGGCCTGGTGGGTGGCAGTTACATCACTGGGAAGGGATTAACATAGTTCTTTTCTCAAGGTACCCCAGTTAGTTCCTGTGAGAGGAGTTGTTTTAAAACAACAAGACTGGCTCTCTTCACCCTCCAGCTTCCTGTCTCACAGTGGAATCTCCTGTTCCTGCACACTATTGCTATTGTGATGCCATCCATCCTGTGGGCCTTGCCAGGGCAAGCTGAAGACAGTGCCATGACCTTGAAACTCCAGGTGTGAGCTAAGTAAAACCATTTTCTTCATAAAGTACCCAGCTTTGGGTATTTTGTTATGGCAACAAGAAAACAGACTAAAAAGTTAAAACCCCAAGAGCAAGTAGTCCTTAAGAAATGAAGCTAAGGATCAGGTCTCAGTTTCCACAGGGAGTGTTTAACTTCTCTCCACTTCCAGCCTTAGGTCGCTCCTTGAAATCTATCCAGGGTTTCACAGAGGCACATCCTTGACACTGAGGAGATTCTGGTGAGAGAGAATGGCTAGGTCTCTGCTGTTCTATTTCACTGTTGGAACAGTAACTCAAAGGGGGCATCCCATGTAGTATTAAGGCAGTCTCTGCACAGACAGCTCATAGTTATGCACACCATGCAGCCTCGTTAATGGCTTCCAATGACTGAAAAAGGAGCATGAAGCTCACCTGGGTGCTGGCTTCCCTCAGTCAGTACCTAAGGAAGGACTCAAGACCCTCCATCAAAAGTTTGATTTTAAAAAAAGGGGTTCTTTCATACTTTGGCTTCTGCTTCAGGGCTCCTTCCATACTTCTTCAAGCTTTCAGAACCTTCCTCTCCTGCTTTTCCTTCTCCAGCTATGGAGAACTGAGAAGGATGCCCCAAAACTACCTAGGGCAACCCCCATTAACCTTGACCCTGATCTTATCCATGTTTTCATTTCCCTTATGTCTTCTCAAAAATTTATTACCATTAATGCACACAAACGCTTCTTTTAAAGTCTTTGTTTAAATAAGATACCCCAAAGAGTAACAGATTTTAATTAATCATTACTATTATTATTATTTTACCTTTGTGCAAATAGGATTTGAATGAAGTGCCTGTAGCCCTCTTTTGACTTAACAGAGAACACACAAGTCCATACATCTGCCTGAAAACAGACCTCATGTGGAACATTGCCAGACCAACATGTTCTTAAGCAAGACTGATTATAATTGCACCCTTCATGGAGCTAGGGGTTATCTCCACAAGCCATAGCAACAATCTCTGGACTTCAGATTCATGATAAAACTCCCCTGTTAGAAATAACACTGATAATGTCATAGTCAAATGAGATAGAAGAACATTTTCTAGTGTGTTCATTTTGCTTTGTTTCAGTTAGTGGAAAAGGGCTACATATTCTTCTTAACTAGCTGAGATTTCTCTTGTCAGTAATTAGAAATGCCTACCAGTATTGTTTCAAGACCTAGATTTCTATTACTTCGTACTGAGAGAAGTAAGGCCATCCTGCTCTATTAAAAATGTTTTTTCAGATCCAAGGAAGAAAAAAATGAAAAGAGAATTTAACACATTGAATATGGGTGTGTGATCATACCCTCTGCCTGCATAGACATGATTCTTGATTTTTCAACCTTTCCTAACCCTGAGTCAATTCATGTATTTATCCAACATGCAGTGAGACCTGTGTCACTTAGTGCTTATGTGGAGCTAGGGTCCACCTTGGAACAAAGAAATCATTCTAGGTATTGTTAACAGAGAGACATTAATTCAAAGAACTGGTTACCAAAGTGTTGGAAGTAGTAGAGTGGCTAAAATCAAAAACAAACCATGCCACATGTTGGTATAGATATGGAGCAGCTGGGATTCTCACTCGCTGCTGTTAAAGATGTAAGATAATATGATTTTGGAGACTATTTGATTGTTTCTTTAAAACTTAGACATACATGGGCCGGGGATTTAGCTGAGTGGTTCTGCCGCCTGCCTTACAAGCACAAGGACCCAAGTTTGATCCCTGATACCAAAAAAAAAAAAAAAAAAAATTAGACATACAACTTACCACATGGCCTAGCCATTCTAAATTTAGATATTTACTCAAGAGAAAAGAAAGCAGATAGTCATACAAACACTTTGCACAAGTGGTCATGGTAGCCATATTTATAATAGCTCAAAACTGAAAATAACACAAAAGTCATGAAGAGGTGAATGAAGGAAAAAAGCAAAAATCTGATGCATACATACAACAGAACACTATTCAGTAATAAAAAGGAATAAATGATTGAAATGTACAACAACATGGGTCAATTCAATTATGTTATGTAAAAGATTAAAAAATTTAAAAGGATGATACATTCTACATGATTCCATTTATAAAATTCTAGAAAATGAAACCTGTAATGACGGAAATGCCATCAGAGAAAGGAAGGGAGAGATTATAAAGGAGCACAGGAAACTTTGGAAGGCCATGGATATGTTTGTTACTATCACGGAGACGATGGTGGTGTTGAAGCTCAGATCTTAGTGTCCTGGGATGCTGATTGTTTCAAGTTAAAGGCACCTGGAGAGCAGCAGAGGCTTGGAGAAGCTTCACTCTGATATTCCCATACCCACAAAAAGACTAGATGCACCAAAGAGGAAAACCATTGCCTTTGTCCTCCACCCCATCCCTGGGTTTATTAACTAAACTCTTGTTGCAGGAAGGGAGATTGAGGGATATAATCACACCTGCGTTGACTTTGGCACAAGCTGAAGTCTCCCCAGTCTATTCATTCTTCCAAGGAGAATAGTTTACAAACTATTGTCTGTCCTCTTGGCTCATTTGTTCCCCATAAAAATCATTTACTACCCCTCCAAATCACCTACACTCCTCATCTCCCTCTCTATGAGTATCAGCACCTCACTGGATAATTGAGTGATCCTTTCCCTATGATGAATAAATGCACATGAATAAATCTGCCTGCCTTTCCCCCCTGTTAATCTATCTATTGTTTCATTTCAGCAAAACTTCAAAAGGTACAGGGAAATTCCCCTTGTCCCGTCAGTGGCATCAGTGTATACTTACATTAAAGCTTATTAAGTTATGCAGTTTAAACATATACCATTTATTCCATGTGGTTATACTCCAAAAAAAAAAAATAAAGAAGTCTTGCCCAGCATGGTGGTGTGCACCTGTAATCTGAGCACTTGAGACGCTGAGGCAAGAGGATCACTATGAGTTCCAGGCCAGCCTAGGCTACATAGTGAGTTCAAGGCCAGCCTGAACTGCATAGTGAGACCTTGTCTCAAAAAAACAACAACAAAAAAGAAATCTTCCTGGAAGATGGCTGGAAGGAAACATTACTAAGGGATTAACAGCTGCTGACAGACTCACCTGCTCTCAGGGTTGGAAGAAATGCAGGAAAAGCCATGTGCATGAAGCCCATGTTTGTTTGGCCACAGAGACCAGTGGGATCTTTACCAGTGTTGTAGCAGTTACCCCTCTGCTCCTCTTCAGGAAGCAGAGCACACATCCTCACAACTGGCAGAGCCCTGGGAGGCCAATGTCATTCATGGACACTGCTGCTACTGGAGGCCACACCAAGGCAGAAAAAAATGGCCCCTTTCTTCCTTTTTTTCTCCCAGTCTCCTCCTACCCTCCTCTTCCATTGACAGAAACTCTCTGGAAGCCAGCTGGGAAAGGAGTTTATTTATTGGTTTCAAACTCTGCATCATCAGGAAGGAGTAAGGAAAAGTATTTATGGAACTGAAGGCTAAGGGACAAGTAACTGTCACATCTAGCTGATATACACCTCTTGACAAAGGAAAATATAAATAGTTAAAGGTATGGATCTTTCATGGATCTTGTCTGTTAACACATTCTGGTTCTCTTGAAATTACATGGCTTTCCCATCTCCTGCCACCAAGTAACTCAGAATAAAAGCAGGTGTGAAGGCCAAGAGAAAGAACAGATATGGGCACAGAAGGTGGGAAGAAAAGAGAGTATATTCACATGGGTGGGGACAGAATTAGCCAATGGGGGAGGCTAGCCTTTTCTGCCAATAAACAGCTTTTGGAGAACTGACAGCCAGAAGCTGAAATAAACCTTTCTAAGAATGCCTGCTATATAAATATATGCTGATGGGGCTCAGAATATTACACCCCAAAATATGACTGTAGGAGAACAGAATATGCCACTCCAAAATATGCCTCTTTTGCATAAGGATTATTTTGAGTTTATTATTTTGAGAAATAGCAGACACAGGAGAAGCTCAAAAATAGAGAAGTTTTCCATTTGTATGAAAAATTCACATCTATAAAGGAAATCTCCATTTGTAAGGGTGCCTCTCTGTACCAGGAAGAGAAAGATGACTCTACATCACTAGCAACTCTTATCAATGGAGAAGACAGTGACTCACTTTGCCAAATAGGCCTTTTCCTTGATTTATTTGCTTTTCCTGGCCCCTTTCCTATCACTAAACCTTCCCCATCCCCTTCTTTCTTTGTTTCCACTGATGATAGTATTTAAGCCATCACTGAGATTTACTCATTTTCCATGGGTATCTCCCATGTATACAGGAAGCTATCTCTGTGCCTTAGTCTATTTGTGCTGCTATAACAAAATACCTGAGACTGGGTAATTAATACATAGCAGAAATTTGTTTCTTACATTCTGAAGGCTGGGAAGGCCAAAGTCAAGGTGCTGGTGTTATCTTGTGAGGGCTGGTGTTTACTTCTAACATGGTGCCTTTTGGTGCATCTTCTGGAGAAAAGAATTACTTCCTTGAATGAGTAGAAGGGGAAGAGAGTATTTCCATTAACCTTGAGCTCTTCTGTCCCTGGTTCCTCACTCAGGGTAACAGATGCCCATACCATACTTTCTTAATGAAAATGTTTACCTTAGCATAATGGTAGCCAGCTATGCATCTTGGTAGCTGCAGTGGGGGAGTACAGAAAGCAATCTTTGTGTTCATCCACTTGATAGACAGACGGCAAGGTGTATGCACCTGTGTCAAAGTATCAACAGGTGAATTTTACCCATCTTATGATCTGTGTTACATTTTTGAGTATTTATAATTTGTTTTATTAAATATTTTCTTTGAGTTTTCTTGTAGAATTAGCCCAATTCAGTACAATGTCACATGAAAATCCACTTTTACAACTTTGGGAGGAGGTTGAAAGTGAGCCATCAGATGACTCAGTTACCAATGATGAATTGGTTCATGTAAGCCAAAGAAGTTAGCAAAAATGACAGAGAAATACAGAAAGAAGACCTGCATTCAGAAGAGGAAGAAAACA